AGTCGCCGTGGACGCTTTTGATCGGAAAGATCAGGACGTCCTGCGTCATCAGACGCCCCGCGCTTCCCGGCAATAGCTAGAAAAGTAGAAGGGCCATGAGCTGAGCTCAAGCAGTGGCCCTGAGCTCTTGCGGTCGAATACACAGAGCTCGCGGGAGCATTAGGGGTTAACACATACGTCGCGGGGCGTCAATCCGAAGGAAGTCGGCGGCGTGCCTAGAGTTTGGCAAACTCAAATCGAAGGTGTCGTTCCACACGCACGTCCATTTCTTGTGGCTCGAGCGTAGGTTATACAGCGAGGAAAGTTGCCGGTGTCGTTGCATCCATCGCTCAAAGAGCGCTTCGTCATCTGTAGCGCTTTCGCCAGGGGCGAGCACTACAGGTATTGTCCGCATTGCGAGTACACGAGAGCCACTTCGTTGAGCATTCAGAGGAGTGCGATAAGCTTCCAGCGGAAATTCTTGTGGAACCAAGAAACAAGCTCGAAGAGCCATCCGTTTGGCAAATTCATCTTCGGGCCCGATGATGTGGACGCGCAACGATCGAGTTACCGCGTCCTTCGCTTCCATAGTGGGATCCGCTGGGCGGAAGCCATACTCCACACGAGGATCAATGACCGGCCTTGGATGGGTGTGCTTTATAGCCGCCCTATGGGCAGCTTCAAGCTGCTGTCTCTGAGCCCCGTCGAGGTCATTGGTGATTACACCACGTCCCTCGGTTGACGAGAAGTCGGGGAACGGACATGGGGTCCGCAAGGCACGAGCAGGGCCCGAGTCACGCCGCTGGCGCAGCTCGCCTTCCTCGTCACCCATGGGGGAAATGGAGTGTCAGACTCGTAGTCGACCACCTCCACTTCCTCAACGAGGTCATTCGTCATTGAAAGCGTGCGCAAAGCGCGACGCTCGTGCTCATCGAGCCTAGGATGTACATCCCCCGATGCCGCGGACGCACTGTCCAACATCGCACCGCGTGCGGGAGACGAAGTTGGGCTCTGCCCGTGCTCGCTGTCAGAACCAGCGAGACTTGGTGACTTCCGTGTCGTGGACACAGGGCTCATTGAGCAAGGAAGTTGTTTAATTCCAACAAATTAAGTTGCAGTGTTTAGCAGACACGAGAGCCTCGTTGAGGCAATAATCTATTGGAACGGTAAATGTCCTCAATCTTAATGGGGGAGGGTGTAACGGGGTTACACGTACCCTGGTAGCAGGGGTGTGTGTCACACGAGATGTGCATGGTGTGACTGCAACCGACAAGAATACGGTATATGGCTAGGTAGTCAGTAGTTATGCATGTATTTAGATTTCACTATATATATTTAGTACATTTAGGAAAATCTAAGCTTTTAAATTAGATTTGAAAAAAAAATAAAAATCAGTTTTGGATTTCAAAACGGAAGAGCTAATTAGCCTTGGGTAAGGCAATAATTACTCTTGGAGTGAGCGGATTGCGATCCGCTTACTCGTACTTGTTCTAAGTATAGAACAAAACGTTGGTGACCCAAATTACGCTTCCTCAAGCGCTAAGCTACCGCAGCCCTGCTGCAGCCTATATCTCAATATATATGCGTAAATAGTAAAGCCTAATTTATTGCTCGCAGTCCAGCCATGTACTGACTTCTTCTTGAGGTATAGCCATACCATTGTGTGAATGTCTCGTCTTGTGTAACCCACACCATCTTGTGTGACCCACCTTTTCATACCAGGCTATGTGTTACCTCCCTTTCCCAGGTCATGTGACTAACTCGGTTCTCGAGTGTTTGTACATATGTAAGACGCGGCGACTGCAAAATTTGGTAAAGATACCGCATACAACCAACCCTTCAGAATCCGCCATCTATGTGGTCACCTGGGCTTGTGATTAGACTTAACAAATGATATATTTTCTAGCACATTCATCGTCGGTAAACCAAAAGCATGTATTATTAGCGTTTGCACGATGCATCATAACGACGACAGTACAAGCAGTTAGCGCTGTGGAAACGTTTGTAATATGTAGATCTACACGCTCGACAAGTTTTTATAAAACGTTGCAAATACGATGATAAGAGGTTAATGATGACAAGTTGTCCTGAGCGTGCCAACTTATGAATTTGACAAAAACTTGCTATATATGTAGTACTGACACTTGGTCAAATGTATTGAACACAAAGCACAGCCTCAACACATTGACAATCAATGAGTTCGTATAAACAAGAAACACGCTTTTCTCGCTGTCTCAAAACAAGTGTTGACATGCGAAAAATTTGGCAATGGTATTAATGGAGACGTTCTTATTCCAAATCATGTCAAATAATGCGCTAAACATGCTCCTGACACGTTCATTCTGAGCAAGTGACTTTGACGACTCAATCAATAACAACACATAAATCCGATACTCTAATTCTCAACACAGAAATTACAGAAATTACAGAAATTACAGAGCGCACCCACCCTACGGTCAGATTGCTACAGTACAAACGTTCTCCTCCATTCACCAATTACACAAAGCTGGATATTTAACTGCACCATGTGTTTATTATTCGAAACTGGACATCAGACATGCCAAGTCCAATAATGCAGCACTTCTCATCCATTCAGTCCTCCAGTGTTACCGTCGATTATCCATAACTGTTAACTATTCGAAATGCGCTTCTGCCTTGTCTTTATTAGGCTCGCAGCGTTCGTGATCTTAAGCGGTGGTGCCACATCGACAACCACGGACAACGATGACACAAGATTGCTGCAGACGAGTAATATTGAGACAGCTGCTGTGGCAAATGTGCTACACGTAATGCAGAGCTCCGAGAGTAGTAAGAGGCTCCTTAGGCTGAACGACCAAGCGGATATCAGTGGTCATGACGAAGAAAGAAGCTCGCTGATTGAGAAGGGATGGAAAAAACTTCGAAAGCTCATCAAGAAGGTGTGGAAATACGTTAAGAAGCCTTTTAAGAAGACCGCGAAGATTATCAAAAAGCCTTTTAAGAGTCGCACGAAGAACATTCATATAGTGTACTACAAAAGCCGTTTTTGATCTATAACAGTATACATGACTAGATTTACCTCAAATTTGTTGTATTTTCAATCTCACTTTTCGCTGCTCAGTGTTTCTTCATGCGTCCTCTTTACGAATTAAACACAGGTCCAACATGTAACAACACTAGTCACGGAACCAATGCCAGCACACCATCACAAACTTTCACACGATTAAGCATGTGGTATAGTCTGATATTTTAATGCAATTACATGAAAACAGCAACGCCACATCACATAAATGGTGTATTTGGTGATAATGTCAGCACTAAGTCAAAGTGTCAAAAAGTGTCCGATGTGCTTACCAAAACCTCAGGTTTCATAAGGAATAATAGCAATTACTATTCTACAGAGCGGTGACATAGGTTGTATCGAACAACGAAATCAAGCAAATGACACCAGTAAACATGAAAACAAAAACTGAGGATTAAGAAGGAAATTGAATAATTATCAGTGAAGAAGCTATGAGGGTGTTAGAGTGTATAAATGAGAAAGCAATACCTGCTAAGAACAACAATGTTCTGACCAGTACGCTAACCAACTAAGCTTCAACTTACTGCCTAAATACTCAATACCAATACCGATGCGAATATTTACTCTTTTTCCAGGGCTTCATATATTGCTTCATGTATTGCTTCATATACTTTTTGTGATACTTCGCCATCTTTTTATGTCGCTTCTTCCACGATTTCCTTTCTTCATGATCATCGTAATCAAAATCATCGTTGGAGATGAGAAGCCTCTTTGTACTGTCAGAGCCTTGCAACGCGGGCACCAGGTCTGCTATAGCGGCTGGCTCAGGGTTACTTGA